TTTAAACATCCACCTTGCCGAGCTTATACTCCCTGGTTAGTGGTGGTTGAATCCAATTAAATTCGTGATTAAGCAATAAGCATTAAGCATGTAGGTAATCAAAACAGTTGTGTAATTATATTTTCTTTTCTAATGTTTACAGGGGTCGACCGAGGGCAGGATTTTCGACCGAGGCCGAGGCCGAGGAAAATACAGTTAGTTAAGACCGAGGCCGAGGACAACCGAGGTTTCTTTTTTTGACCGAGGCCGAGGCCGAGGCCGAGGAGTGCAAATTTTGACCGAGGCCGAGGAATTTTGGCAGAAAAATTGTTGGGAAAAAGGGCATTGTTTATTAGGAAAAGCGCACTGTACCTAATCAGATTGTACTGTGTACTATACTGTGTACACACGTTACAATCATTATGAAGGGGCAAGTTCGCCAAGAGTCAGGAGTGGGCATGCTAATAAGCAGAGCTATCCGAGGTACCGCGACAATTGACCCCCCGACAATTGACCCCCGACAATTGACCCCCCGACAATTGACCCCCCGACAATTGACCCCTATGTAATTACACTGGGGTCAATTGTCGCGAAATCTAGGGTTTAGTACGACAATTGACCCCCCGACAATTGACCCCCATGTAATTACACTGGGGTCAATTGATCGGGTCCTGGGTCAGGGTTAGGGTTAGGGTTAGGGTTAGGGTTAGGGTCCTGGGTCAGGGTTAGGGTTAGGGTAAGGGTTACGGTTAGGGTCCTGGGTCAGGGTCAGGGTTAGGGTCAGGGTCAGGGTCAGGGTCAGGGTCAGGGTCCTGGGTCCTGGGTCCTGGGTCCTGGGTCCTGGGTCTTGGGTCCTGGGTCCTGGGTCAGGGTCAAGGTCAGCCGTGGGTCAATTGTCGCCCACCCCTATCCGAACCTTGCTGAGTGTTCAAGGAAATATCTATCTGCGCCGGCGAGCTCAGCAGCACCAGAGAGATTGTTTTCTACAGCAGGGTACATCCTGAAGTTAAATCGCCTCAGCCTTAAGCCAACAAACTTTGAGGGGTGCTTGTTTCTCAAAAAGAACATCGGAACATTTGGGGACGACTTCGGCCCCTGTCCAAATGAATTTGAAGCCCCAAATAAAGAGGACTGTCCCCCTTCTTCTGAGCTGTGCACAGAAGATTATTCTGATTCAGAGTGCTCAGATATTGTCATTTCATCAGACGATGAATCTTAGACTATGATATTTTTAGTTTTGTGTCCTGGTCAATTGGTCGTTTTATTTTCAATTTTACAAATTCGTTTACATTAACCTCACAAACCTTACAAAAATCCTCGGTCAAATCCTCGGTAAAATCGTCAAATTTCGCCGAGGCCGAGGAATTTCGAATCTATTTTTGACCGAGGCCGAGGCGAACCGAGGAATTGTCCTCCTGACCGAGGCCGAGGCCGAGGCCGAGGAAAAATCGCCATTCCTCGGTAAAACCGAGGCCGAGGCCGAGGACTCGGTCGACCCTTGAATGTTTAATGATAGTAATACACCAGTTTATTTACAATAAATTCAATATCCACCTGGAGCACGGATTTTATTTTCTAATGTTTGATGATAATAATACACCAGTTATTTACAATAAATTCAATATCCACCTGGAGCACGGATCTTGTGAAGTTCACCTAACAGGATTAGGGGATGAACTATCATCTCCCTGTAGCCAGCCCTCAGAAAGGAAACTGTCGTATTCGTTACAATGCTCTGTCCCCACGAAATAAACGTCTCAAGAAGCTGCTTCACAACACGGTTCTTGGGGATCTGTAGAACATCCAGTTTATCCTAACAACGAAGAAAATTGACCTTTCATGTTGAAGGCTTGAGGCGCTTCATTATATTTTCTTCGCTATCATCAATCACTCTGTGATGAACCATGATTGCATGATCTTTACAGTTATATGTATTTTGATGTTTATGAATAAATTTTATTATTAAAACGGAAGTACAGCGATAAAGTCTATGGCTTGTAGCTAAAATGGGCCTTAAGTTGTAAAATGGAATGCTGATCATCTAGTGGACCACAGGGAATATATTTTACTTGTGGGCTGAAGTAAGTCATACCATTAGACGGAAGAGCACAGAATATAGTATCTTGGATACTGACTTCTCTGACATTTGCTATGAAAAAGCAATCTTCCTCATAGCCTAACGTGACCCAGCGTTTTATTAGTTCAGCTAGGGTACCAAATCACCACAGAAATGTTCTAGAACAAAAAGCTTTCGTGTGGAGGACCTCTCAACTCAGCGAGATTTAATGATTATAACTATAAGCGCTATGATGATACTATACTTCTTTTTAACAGTCGATTTGAGAAACTGGATTTATAACATAGATTTTCTTTCTTCTTTATGGTAAGATCCCAGAATCCTTCCAGGGTGACTTCTCGGGCTCCATTGAAGATGATTATACTTTCAGTCGACCTGGCTGAGCTCCTGTAAGAAGACCCCTCATCTTACCATCTATCATGTAGCCATCTGGCATTCAATGGTGACTTTATATGTTTTGTCACCCAAAAAAACTTCAAGTTCCCCATGTCGTTTCTCTCTGCAACAGCTCGGGAAATATCCCACAGATTGCTCAATTCTTCTTTTCCAAAACCAAGAACAGTGCTCTTCGAGAAAACGGGGATGCTGGAGACACCTCATGGAATATAACAGTTCCGCTGCTCTTTTCACGTATCTCCAGCAATCAAAACATGTACATGATAATGTTGTGGGTCTGCTCATTGTTTTGCAGCTGGAAAATTGCATGTGAGCCAGACCCATCAACACCGTCTTTTAACTTAACAACAAGCTCGTGCTCTGGCCCAGAGTGACCATGGACAAGGAGGACTCTTGAAACGGCCATGGTCACACTGTCCTTTTAGCTAAACCGCACACCAGGAAGCAGTGTGTCTGTCAGTATCACTGGTGTAACGGAATGTTGGAACTTCCTCAGCTCTTTCCGGGTGGGAATAGTAGATATTGACATTAAGAAATTGTCTTCAATGTCTGGTAACCCGTTCGCCCAAGCAAAAGTTTCTGTTGGAGATATGACGATTTTTCAACTGACAACTTGTCTGACATCTTACCACTAATCAATTGAGCAATTGATCTTGGAGGTGGTCCGGTCTTTGTGATAATTAACCTGTTTCAGAACCTTCCCAAGGAGTTTGTTCAGGGTGCACTTATTTAGCAGAGCCTGTTCACCTCAGCTGAGATACCTTGATTACCTTCTGCTACTGCTGAGCCTGTTCCCTCAGCTGAGAAACCTTGATTACCTTCTGCTACTGCTGAGCCTGTTCCCTCAGCTGAGATACCTTGATTACCTTCTGCTACTGCTGAGCCTGTTCCCTCAGCTGAGAAACCTTGATTACCTTCTGCTACTGCTGAGCCTGTTCCCTCAGCTGAGAAACCTTGATTACCTTCTGCTACTGCTGAGCCTGTTCCCTCAGCTGAGAAACCTTGATTACCTTCTGCTACTGCTGAGCCTGTTCCCTCAGCTGAGATACCTTGATTACCTTCTGCTACTGCTTCAATAACATTGAAGAAAATTGACCTTTCATGTTGAAGCACTTCTTTTACCTTTTACTTCGCTGTACTATCACCGAGGGAAACCTGATCACATGATCGTCATATCAAAAACGGGATCCTTGTATTGATTTGTATCAATTGCAAATATATATACATATATTTTGGTGTTAATGACTAAATTTTATTATTAACTAGGGTCTCGTGATATAATCTCATAATACAAATACTGGTTCATTCTTCGAGACTTCTCTTTACTTTTTAACAATTTCGTAATAAATCGTTTCACTTGTCCACCATACAAAGATGGGAAAGATAACAAACTTGCCACCTCAACACAAACACCAATTTGAATGAAAAAAAAAAACAAGTTACCCGTAATGGATAGAGTGAATTTGTTGCACTTTTGCAGTCTGTACTCCATCGATATTAATCATACATGTCATCATGTCATAGCCTGAAAACACATTCCCTGGAGCTGACCGGATTCTTGTCGACCTCTTTCGCAGCTCTTTATATCGCTCCGAGTTTGTAACGTCAGACAGAATAGAGCCTTCGTTCTGTTCCATTAACTCTATGAAATGTTTGACTCGGAACTCATTTCGCTCAGTTTCTAGAAATGCTTTAAGAAGACCCTTTATTGAAGTATACAGAAAGTAATAGCCATTTTTTCTGAGGTACTTTTCGTTAAGGTTTGAACCACATTTTGCACATTGTTGAGGAACATTTCCCTCCTTGTAGAAGCGCAAGTACAAACTTTTTTTACAAGCGCAAGTAAAACGCAAGTACATTAAAGAATGGTTTGCAGCTAATTTGAACTTTTCCAATGTTAATTGACACATGGTCATGGTCCTTGGTCTTAGTTGACTTAGTGGAAATAGCATACATTCATCGCGCTTTTTCGTCCCCGAACCTTTAAATAGTGCCTAATGTGAAGTTTTAAAATGGATTCCTGTGCTAATGTTTTCCTCAAAAATGTTTTCTAATTGAAATAAATACTAGATTTCACCCTCCTTTCAGTTTCAGCAGCAGCTAAATTGAGTTAATAAAAGTAATTCTCAACTTGGTATAAATTACTAGTGCAGTCCACAAAATATAAATATGAATAAATGGTTACTTGAGGCTGATTGCTGGCATAATATCCATTATCCAGTAAATTGCCCCGGTTTTTTTGTTGTTTTTGTTGTTGTCCGGAGGATGCCGGTAGTTCTAATGACCAATTTACGAAAATTTATATACATAATAATATTACATTTAAAGAACTGCACCCTTATTCGAAACGTCAGCTCTTGTGAGGAACACGTGACTCTTCTTTAACATGTCCCCTTTTAAAACCACTGTATTCTTATACTTTCCTTCAGGTCGCCTTTTATGATGGACCTTTAAAATGACAATGATAATGTTTTTACATAAATCCCCGACACCGCGACAGTCACCAGCAAGCTTGCCAAGCTTGCTGGTGACTGTCGACAATGTTCAGGTTTCCAACAACTGTCTGCTGCTGTAGACAAGACGAACAAACGAGTCTCTGGTACCAGGGGTACTAATCCTTACTTTGAAGTGGTGGACACTGACTACGATATTGTGAGTTTTATTATCCTAAAACTAGATATTGATATGGTCTCAAGTAGTCTGTATTCTGCAATGTGTACGATGTTTAAAATTGACAATTAATGGGACTGATCAGTTTTACAAATGGTTATTTAGACCTTTCTTCAAATTATTGAGATAAACTATTGATGTTTTTGCATCGTGACGTTGAGATTTAACTTTTCTTTCAACAGGGGCTTGAAGACACGCCGGAAAGTGGATTAATCGAGGATTCTTCAATAACACAACCCGTCGCTATAGACATGTATGTTGCATTTCGTAATGCTATTTTCAGGCTGAAACACAAATCAGTTCAATTTATAAGGTCTTATCTATCGTTCATCTACATTTTCAAAGTTATCTGGTTGTACAGATTTAGACCACATGTTCACTGACATTTGTCTCAATGGTCTAAGAGGGACCAACAGTTTGCAAGCCTTTATTTTTGAGTGCAGTGTAAAATATAAGTTTTGGCGACCCCATACTCAAAGCATTATTAACATTACACGTCAGACTATATGATCTATCGCTGTTGAAGTAGTTTATCATAAAGATCTAAAGGCATGATGCAATGAATTACAGTTACAAAAAGGAGCGCACGATAAAACGACTTGAAGCTTTTATCTACGTGATGGACGCACTCTTTAACATCAAGACTCGAGATCTGCGTAATAAGGTGACATGTCTACTAGGCACACAGTGGTCTGTATCATTTCATCTCAGTTTGAACTCGTAACATTTACATTTTACAAAAGCATCACTGTTTGACAGGGACAAAAGGAAATCGCGGCATGTACGGAATCGCGATTTTTCCCATTATTTGCGACAAATTTTATGTATAGTTTAATACACCGCGAAATGTAATTCGCCGTATCGCGATTTTTGGCCAAAATCGCCGCGAAATCCTTTTGTCCCTGCTGTTTGATGGGCAACTAACTGCCGAGTTTCAGCGGCATGTGCAGCATGAGAAAGAATTGATGGAGCCAAGCTATCACCAGCTTGGAGCCAAGCTATCACCTGATGATAAACCAGCCCCTGTATTACGAGAGAAAACATCTGCAGGAGAACAGTCTCCTCACAAAGGGTGACATTTTTACTCCTCTTATTAAACTTTTTGTTTGCTTTATTTGATTATTTTTGTATTAAATATATATCCAAAGAAATTGAGAATTAGACGTCTAGTCGGTGATTTGTGTATTATGATATTCACTAGTCACCCAGTACGTGATAAAATTATTTAACAATCTAGATTCACGTGGAATGATGGTATTCCTCCATGGCAGAAGATAAAACAAGAAAACGAATTTCTCGCTGCTCCCGGTATAGAACAAGGTGTTGAATATTATAAATTCCATTTCTTTTTAAAATAAACCTTTAAAATAAATTTGTAACATTGGCTGATTTATCAATGTACACTCAAATTTATCAATGTACACTAAGATCTATTCATTCAAACGATTAACTAATACATCTTTTTCAGAGAATGTTGAACCAGAAAATGACATATCTAGGTAATATTAACAAGGTCGACATTGAGCCTTCTTCCATAAGTTTTTTTGATAATTAGCTGTTTCCTTATTTCTTGACTTGAATTCTTATAATCTTATTGACGCCTGATCGATTTTGGCTTATCTTAACGGCTGAGTAAGTGCGGTTAATTAGTGAATTGTGATCAAGTGATCAAGTCAATGCTCCCAACTTAATTCATTATTTTACAGTCCTGATGGGAAAGACCAGGAGTTTTTGCTAGGTTTGAGAAAAGATTTTGTGGCCATGCAAGAAAGATTGGACTCGCATCTTAACTACAGAATCCGTCGAATACTCAGGTTAGATGTTGTAGAACTGAGCAAGTAAAACATTTCAATGTAATAATATCACACTACATGATTTTGAGATAATTAAATTTCACAAGATTACTTTTATGAAGGAGCAATAACTTCAATAGTGCTTCCACTGCGATGAATAATTATTTGTGTCGACTTTTATCAACTTTGATGTTTAGATTCGTTCATTTATCATCAACTCACCAATTCTTTATCATCAAAGTCATCTCTATAATCCACATTTCCTCTTAATCTTCGCTCATAGGCCTCAGCCGCCGCTTCTACTTTTCTTTAACATGCACATGATCGAACTCAGCTATATGACCCAAAGATAAAAAATCATATCTACATTCACAATTTAAGCCGCTTGAATTGTGCTAATAGTAATTATAAAGTTTATTACTTGAATGTGAAATTGTAATAATGACGCATTCCAAATCATATTTTGCATTCACAGATAATTCATTGTCTTTATGCTGGTACCTATTGAATTTTGTTGGATGTTTCGCTAACTCCCATCACTTATGTTAGACATGGCGACTTGGTGGTGTCCTTCAGAACAGTTCCCAACCCGTCCGCAACGTGAACACAACTGTCGAGTACCAGGTTGTACGTTATGCAACTATCGACAATATGACACCAGTGAAAAGAAAGACTATGCCCAAATTCCTTGTTCCATGCTCATGAGGTAGGAGTCATTTGAGTTTATAATATCACTAATAAATCCCAATTACCGAAATAATCTATTGTTTAATAATTTGTAAATATTTTGAACACTGGGAGACTTTGGGACCGGAAACTGATCCGGCCCCCAAAGAGGGGTCAGATCACGTGACCAATCCGTTCCGTCTTTTTGAAATAGCGTAAAACCTTGTAGTTGTTATTTTCATTTATATGATCTTGGAACTTCTAAAAGGAATATCGCGAAAATTCCGAAAAACGTCTCTAAATTCCCAGAATGGTCACTGGTCGACCAGAGCGTGATGAAGGGTGGATCGAGTTTGACAACCTTGACTTCATGGATGTTGTAGATGACTCTGAAGAAAAAGCTACTGCTGAAGGGCGTAAGTAATTACTCATTTAATGAACTATGCAATTAATGCAGTAGAATAAATTTTAAAATCAGTAATAGCGAGAAAGTGATATATAATTATAGGCTAATTCGTAAAATTTGAGTGCCTCAATTCATAGCTATTCTATTATATTATTATATTTATAAACAATATACCTACATCCAATCACCGATAAATTGTGACATCAACCGATCAAATCCCAGAATGACTGTAATTAGAAAATATATATTACGGATTACTTCACCATCATTAACCAACTTCATTGTCAGAGCTAAACGATGAGTTCGGTATCAATGTACGTGACTACAAGCTGATTAACTACTGGGAGGAACCTGATTTTCAAGATGATTGCCCACAGTCTCCAACTCGGGTATGTGTATGTTTTTTTTCCGATCACTATCAACCTGATACCGCTGTGTCACCCTGTCGTCCCTTCCCCGCTTAAAGCTCACTACTTCGTCACCTATACAAACAAAACCTGTTTTATCTACACCTTACGGCTTACTCTATTTAAGTTGATCACTATTGTACATTATTTAAATTCTTAGTTCTTAAATTTTCCACTTTTCAGATTCAAGATCGTCAGATGATGGCACGTCCTGAACGATGTCCCTTATGTGGTGAGGTCATAATACATCAGCATGTACCATATTCTGAGAAAGGCTGTTTCTGTCACGTTTTGCCTGGTGAAGAGTGTATGTGTGGGCATTGTATCTACATGAGAAATCGCAGTCATCCTGTAAGTATTAATTTACTCCATTTTTAAGCTTACACGTCCGGAGTCGGATTAGATTATTTGAATTTTGATTTTAGTTCCAGAGATATTTTGAAAGTTTTCAGTTATTGGCAACTTGCATCATCAGGTCCATCTTGCCAAAATTAACTTGAACCTTATCATTTGTAGGAGAAGTTACAAGAATACCTTGACGAAAGAAAGTGCTGGGAAGAGGAAAAGAAGAAAAAGACACCTTCTCAAGAATCTCTTCATAAGAAAATTGCTGAACGCTACGAACAGCATCTGTTCAACAAATACTTTTTAAAACAAAACCAGCCGTCTCCTGACGATACGATCAATAGTTCCGTGGAGGTTCTCGAACAAACACTTGCATTAGAAGCGTCCCTCAACGCCTCTCTCAATTCCCTGTTCGACCCCAACTCCTCAGTTAGGCTGTTGCCTCTTTACGAAACACTGCCACCAAGAAGTGGATATTCAACCGTGCCAGGAGAGCAGCTTGATGGTCAACTGCGCAATCAAGCTAGAAGGCTTTCCGCTGTAAACGAAGAAATCAACCAACGTGGAAGAAGTGTGTCTAATGATATTGGACCTAGTAGTAGTGGTGCCCCCAACGAAGAAGTTATAGAGCGAGTCGTTAAACAAAAGATTGATAGAGTTAAAAAGGTCGTTTCGGCTACGGGAGTCATTAAGAAGTTAAGCAAATCTTTGCTAAACAAAAAGAAATCGGTATGTTCATAATTTATTTGTGATTGAAATTTGTTAACTCCTACTTTTAGCTTTTTAGACTTTGTCCAATACAACTGAACTATGTATTGATTCTAGTTATAGTCTAGATTTTATAATGATGGTGTTCTAATTTAGAGTGATGCACGACGTGCATCACTCTAAATTAGACGTGCATCACTCTAAATTAGAACACCATCATTATAAAATCTAGACTATAACTAGAATCAATACATAGTTCAGTTGTATTGCACGTTTAAGCCCCCATATTAACCACACAACGAACAGACAATGTTTGTTGTGTTGAATAGTTATAATATTGAAAGTATGTTCGTTACGACCGTTAACATGATTATAACGACATTCAAATTATCACCGATGAGGGTAATCAATGAATGTTCATTTCAGGCTCCACCTGCCGATGATCTGAATTCAACTGTAGTTTCAGCTGCCAACCAATCACATGTGTCATTTGCTCCCAATAGTTCGCTCTCTTCTTCTAACCGATCTGGTAACTCATCATTGTACACATCCGCTTTAGAAGATCAAGATGAACCTTACGTCACTGCTAATGTGAGTGTCTACGTTTTCTAATCGGCTGTCTTTTATTGTTATAATATATCATATCGATTAATGTAATGTATCGTTGTCTGTATTTAAGTTGTTCTGTTAGCTTATTTCATCTCTTTCAGGAAACCCTGGACGATATGTCAATCCTTGAGGCCCTAGAAGCAGCCCATCAATCTCTCGTAGCCCAAATGAACGATAATTCTGAACTTGCCAGGGCAGTCATGGTACGTTTCATGAACCATGTGACAATTATCAATATATGAGATTTGTATTTTATGTCATTTCCGAGAAAGTCGCAAATCATTTGATTTTCTTCTTGTTCTGAAATAAAAGCATTGCACTTTAGCTTTGGTCCATTTACGTGAAATATTTTCAGGATCTCTGTCAGGCTGAGGATATAGTGACGAATTTGAGTTTAAGTGGCGGCTTCGATCCTGAAATTGTCAATCAACGACGGAGGCACATGGCAAACGTGAGTACCTTCCCGGATTGAAGTTTTGTAAACATCTTTAAGATTTGTAAACAACCTTAAATTATGTGACCTGTTATTGAATATAAGTTACCCCATGTCCCTGTCCCTGACTGATTATTTGCAGTTACGAAAAGCAACAGTGGCGAGTCATTCTAACCCAGAGACGAGCTTCCAAACTTATCCTGAAATGAATTCCACTCGACCAAGTTTCTTGAGATTTGGTCCTGGACGAAACGCCTGCAGAGACATCTCAGGGGTAATTTAGCTATTGACGTGGCTAGTTTATTAGTATATTTGGGTTTTAGGTGCATGTTTTCCGAGTCTAATCTAATCTTCAAAGAAATGAATCGTTAATTTTTCCTATACAATCGATCAGTCTAATGGTATTATTAAAAGCACGGAACGAAGGCCATATTTTCAGGACCGAACAATGAACGACTCTGCTTTCCCTGGACCTGGTCCTGATGCTCAGCGTACAAGACCCTCAACGGACAGCTGGATGCAAGTAAGTATAATCAATATTTCGCAAAAGTGATCGTCGTTATGATGACATCGTATCCAACATGTGGATCCTTACGGTAAAAATTGGCTTGCCCAAAAATCAATATCAAATGCATACAAATTTCAGAATACAAGCGTTGGATCCAACAGAAGTGCCAGATCGAATGCCAGCATGAGATCCAACAGAAGTGTCAGATCTAGGGTCAGCATGAGATCGAACCGAGGTGCAGACCGTTCTCTCAACCGAAGTGCACACAATCAGTCTACTAGATCACAGGGGCTGGTTAGTTCTCTCAATCTGGAGAATTGAGATCATTCAGGAATCAAACTTTTATTTTAGGTGAAATGTTCAAATTTCTCACGGTAAAAGTTATAAGATTATCCTACTTATACTTTCTTGCACTGATGATTGTGGTGATGATTAATTAATATTAACTGATTAATTAAGCCGTCCCATTTCTTTCAGAACGCAAGTGTTAATAGTATGAACAGTTCGTTTGACCCGGCAGCCATGCACAGACAAATCAGGCAGCAGCTGGTAAGTCTAATAAAAGAATAAATAAGTTTAAGAGATGCATGGATTTCACTGATACAACCATCTAGTATATCTAGATATAAAATTAGACACCGTTAGTGTTCTCAAACAAGCATTGACCCTTACGTCTTCAGAGAGACGTGCTCCACAATTCACAACAAGTTCTGAACCACACCCTGAACACATCCCAAGCTGCTGGAAACACGAGTGGGAGAAGCAATGTGAGTTTCTTGTCATATTCAGTTTATACTTTTCTACACGAACTTCAACGTTCATTGTCACCAAACTATCAATATCCCAGCATTGCTTTTTTCAGTCCTCAAAGTATTAATTCACATCATTGTTACAATTTACACTCAGGTCTCCGCACAACCCTCCGCACCATCCCGGCCCACCTCACTAAGCATGACGTCATCTTCATTACCAGATGAGTCAATACTGGACCCTGCACTTGTCCAGTTCCAGGAGACAAATAATTCCTCACTCGCCGACAACTCACTAAGTCAATTATCACAACCATTTTCTCGTCAGAACCGTCACTACCAAACCAACTCAGCCAGCTCTCCCACAGCTGGTCCTGAACGTTATTTACGCTTTAGGACCTATATGGCACAACAGGGTCTTGATATGACGGTTATAGAGGCCACAACGCCTGGAGCAACAACCGGAACCCCTGGAGCGGCTGGCAACACGACCGCTCAGAGTTTGAGACAACCAGCTAACCCGAAGAACAACACTATAAACATGAGTACAGGTAATGGTCTTAACAGGATGTTCCCGAACGAGTCGAGGTTAAACCCCAGAAGCAACACCCTCAATAGAAGCACTGTCAGTGCTATAAATGGAATGTTCCAGAACTCTCACAACGGTACCATGAACACAACAGCCAGTTCTCTGCACCAATCTGCACTGAGCAACAACAGTTCACTCCACCAATCTGCTCTGAGCAACAACAGTTCACTCCACCAATCTGCTCTGAGCAACAACAGTTCACTCCACCAATCTGCTCTTAATGACACGACTCTGACCAACCTGGACGATATCAGCTACATGGGTGACATTCCTGTTCCCCGGCAACTATCCATACAATCCTCGGTCCGAGAACTCAGGCAAGCTCTCGAGGGATCCGTTATCGAGACATTTGTCCGGCTTTATCCGATCGAAAACAACAAGGACGACACTCTCCAACCAGCTCATCAAGTTGAACAATGCTGCAGGAGCTCCCAGAAGACCTGCAACTCCTCCAACGGATCTGGCATTGTTATAGAGATCAACGCAAATCCTACTTTTGTGAATAACCCCAGCTCTTCCAATGGTGATGGTGTTTTGCTGGCCCAGATTGAGTCGATGATAATGGCACGTCAGAAAGAGTTTGAGAGGCATATAGAAGCACTTTGCTTGAGCAAGCTTGACGCTGCTATAGCTGGCAGAAACCATTGAGAACCCAACTGGCATGTTTTAGAAAATTTCTTTTATTTAGTAATTAGTATATTTAGTGGAGACATCGACAATTTTTAAGACACCATTTCTGACATTTTGTAAAAAGATTTTCCCCGTTTGTAAAATACATCCAGATGTATTGTCGAGATTTTAATAAAGCTTGTAATTTATATAACATTTACATCATTATTTTGATGAATTTTATGATTTTATTAAATGACGGAAAACATTATACCATTTGTATTGCAAACTGATAGTAATAATTTTAAAACTTAAAACTCCAACTACTTGCTCAGTATTTACCTGTAGCTGTCTTTTGTCTGCTTTGATGTTAAAGAATATCCCTTTTTGTCAACACAGCATAATACTGCATAGTTTACTAATTTTGAATTGTGACTAAAGTTTGCTTATTATATTGTCATTTTTCTGTGTCGTCAGGTTATATATCAAATGCCTAGCGTGTTTATTGTTTAACAATCTTAATCCAGGTTTTATGTTTATATGAGCAATAAACTTGGCTGAGTGAGCTTCTGAGTAAGCTAACATACTTGTGAATCTACCTCCGCACTCGGAGAATAGAATGGATCCAGCCAGAGGAAGACCTAAGACTGAAGAAGAGAAGATGAGGGCTCAGAGGAGGCAGGAGGAGGCAGCATTCTGGGTTTCAGATAATGTTACCATGGGCATGTTGCCGAGCGAGATGATCGCAAATGAGGGCGGTGATCCAAGCTCTAATTTCATGAACGATGAAGATTTTAACAGAGACATGTTGTCCGTTTCAAGTCAGTCTGATTCTGAAATAGACAACACAAGACGTCTTGGAGAACTTTTAAGTAGACCCGAACAAGAACAAAAGCAACCAGAAGCAGCTATGAGGTCTAATTTGCCTTTGCGGGGGAGACCATTGCCGCATCAACAATATCAACAATATCAAAATCCTAACTGCAGTCAGACAGCTTTTTACGGAACACCACGGCGGTACGTGATCAATAGTAATGGAGTCGGACCCAACCGATATGTGATCAATAATCATGAGCTAGGAGGAAACCATTACAAACTCAAGTTACCTGGCTTCTCGGAGGATCTAGATGTAAAAATTGGTGCGCGTCCACATTTTGCAAATAACGCATCCCAAGTTGTTGAAAAGATCGACTCTATGCTTCGACAACAGCATGAAAATCTCGAACGCCATGTTATGGAAGTTTTCGATCGGGAGCTTAACAGGATTTAGCTTAGTTTCCACTACAGTGGCAAGGAAACGGGTTAAGTATTTCTGTAGGCATTATTAAATTTATTAATTTGCCTTTTATTACAGTTGAAGCATTGAGATTTAAGGAGTAAATTATCATCGCGATGAACGATTCATGGCCTCGTAATTTAATCCATTTGCATATTATATATAAGATTTTAGAGAACATCATAATTTGAGTGCCTTTCGTGTTTTAAAATCTTATCAATGTTTTTTAAATTTTATTTTTAAACAGTCAAGTCGGCAATTATCGAGTAGTTTATGACTTATGAGTATTGCTGAAAGCACAGCGTAAGGCCTACACGTGCCTCTGATACGTTGACTATGGAAATTGGCTGTTAATTGATCTGTATACAGATCATTTAGATAAATTATAATATAATTATTTCAATTTTGACCAATTTCCTGTTGCTATTATTACATAGACATTAGATTAATTACTGTAAATGCTTAAAACTATAAAAGTGTCGATTCTATTCGTTACTTCGTAAAGATCTTTTTAAATCAACCATCTTTTCAGGTTTTAGCATGAAGGTTAAACAATGATGAATGTTGATGAATGATGATTTTTACAGTTGATGGATCAAGATGAATTATATGCGGATGGTAGTCCGAAACAGCGGCTATCAAATGAAGAACTAGATAAGGCATCATCTAAAACCGAAGCTGTAAATGACAGTGTTGCCACAGATTCAGGTATTCCTGAATCTTTGAGTTTGAGTCCATCCAATAGCTTCTCCGAGATTTCGTCCGAATCTCGTAAATTACTCATGGCTCAGAAAAGCCAACACTCTGCAGATTTTAATACAAGTAGTGGGAAAAATTCTTTAAAATTTTCAATATCTAATTACGATAGAATGGCCGCATCTAATTCACAAGCATCAGTAACGAAAAGTTCTAACAGTCATGACAACAATCCAAGCAATTCAGGATCTGGACAAAAAGTCAGCTATTCTTCATCTCAATCTTTAGGTGATACTCTAGATGCACTTATATCGAATGAAAAGAGTAGTCATCAATCAATTTCATCGGGTATTAGAAGTACTCACAGTAACCATGTACAGTCAGAACTTGAACTCAATGTCAGCTCTGATAACGTACTTAATCAGTCGGAACTTGAGGTTAATCCCAGTCCTCTTTCTCGATCTCCATCATCCCACCAGACTTCTCAAGTATCACTGTCCAGTAAAAAGAGTAGTCATCTTTCAGTTGCTAAAAGTAGTGATCATAGACGTCTTCAAGATCTCACTGAATCAAAAAGCAATAGCAGAAATCTATCTTCGCATACGTCGTTGACGACTGAGCAAATATTGGGAAAGCAATCTGAGCCAACTGTCGCTAAAGAAATCTCTTCATATCTATCAAAACAAAGTCTTCGGCAGCCCTCTCGATCATCCGTTCATGGTGGAAAATCTGTGAGTTTGGATTCGATATCTTTTTCCTCTTCTAATTCTGCTCACTCAGACTCCAGCGATGCATATACGGGTAAATTTAGAAGCGTAACAGCTCTTGAGACTCTAGACAATGACCCTACACAGAAGACCCAATCAGGAGCCTTAAAATCGTCCCTCAGTATTCCAAAGATAGTTAGTGGTCAACATGCAAGCTCTCATAACAGCCACGTTCAGTCGGAACTTGGAATCATACCAAGCCCTCATTATCGATCTTCATCGTCCCATCAGGCTTCACAAGGTTCATTGACAAGTAAAAATAGTAGTCATCATTCAATTGGTAAAAGTAGTGATCATGAAAGTCAACAAGATCTCAATGAATCAAAAATCAGTTCTAACAGTCATCACAATAATCCAAGCAAATCGGGATCTGAACAAAAAGTCAGATTCATTTCTTCATATCAATCTCTAGAGGACACTCCGGGCGGAGTTATATCGAATAAAAAGAGTATTCACCAGTCAATTTCTTCGGGTATTAGAAGTACTCACAGTGGCCCTGTGCAGTCAGAACTTGAACTCTATGTCAGCTCTGATAACGTACATAATCAGTCAGAACTTGAGCTTGATCCTAGTCCTCTTTCTCGATCTCCATCATCCCACCAGACTTCTAAAGTATCACTGTCCAGTAAAAAGAGTAGTCATCTTTCAGTTGCTAAAAGTAGTGATCATAGAAGTCATCAAGATCTAACTGAATCCAAAAGCAATAGCAGACATTTATCGATTCAAAACTCTTCGCATACGTCGCTGTCAACTGAACAAAAATCAGAAAAGCGGTCTCATCCAAACATTGCGACAAAAATCTCTTCATATCTATCAAAACAAAGCCTTCGGCAGCCCTCTCGATCATCCGTTCATGGTGGAAATTCTTCAAGTTTAGTTTCGAATCAGTCGGAACTTGAACTTGATGCCAGCTCTCACAACAGCCACATTCAGTCGGAACTTGAAGTAAATGCCAGGCCTCATTCTCGATCTCCAGCACCCCAACAGAGTTCGCAAGTATCGCTGTCCGGTAAAAAGAGTAGTCATCTTTCAGTTGCCAACGGAAGTGATCATAGACGTCTTCAAGATCTCACTGAATCAAAAAGTAATAGCAGGAATCTATCTTCGCATACGTCGTTGACGACTGAGCAAATATCGGGAAAGCAATCTGAGCCAACTGTCGCTAAAGAAATCTCTTCGTATCTACCAAAACAAAGTCTTCGGCAGCCCTCTCGACCATCCGTTCATGGTGGAAAATCTGTGAGTTTGGATTCGATATCTTTTTCCTCTTCTGCTCACTCAGACTCCAGCAATGCATCTTCGGGTAAATCTGGAAGTGTAACATCTCTTAAGAATCTAGACCGCACAGAAGGCCCCATTGGGGTCCCATTGGGAGCCTTAAAATCGTCCCTCAGTATCCCAAAGATAGTTAGTGGTCAACTTGCAAGCCACATTCAGTCGGAACTTGATGTTATACCAGTTTCCCAAACATCAAACTGCAGTCTACGTGATCTTTCCGAACTTTCAAAGCAAATTTTCGTTGTACCAAATGAGCCATGTGTGCAGAAAATAAAAATAGCAAGATCAAGACATGTACATAAAAGTTTGTCTAATGCACCACCCGAAGAACACTGTATCTCTGTACAAAAATCAAAAAGTTGGAAGCTCGGAACCGTTTCCTCTTCTAAATCATCAACAAGCGTGAAAAAATCACTTTCTCAAAAGATTTCTGCCTTACTAACACGACGATCATCGAATTCAGAGTCACTTACAAAACTGCCCGCTTTATCCGAAAAGGATCAGTCATCAAAATCTAAAATATCGACCCGTCAATCGAAAGAGAATAGCTCAAAAAGTAATGAAGACTCTATTGATAGTATTGTTGATATTGTTCAGACAAGATCGTTAAATAGCACTCTGCCACACTCGTCAGGACAAACGCCAAAATCTTCATTCATTGTCGAATATTACAAGCACACCGGCGTTCCTTTTCAACGAACTAAATCGGACCCAAATTCACTTGTAACGACAGACTCAGAAGTATCAGACCCCATACAAAACGCTCATTTGTCGAGTTCACTGTCAAGCGTATCGAGCTGTAAATCCAAAGTCTGCAAACGTGTGAAAATCAGCGATGTTCCTATTGAGCATATATATATTTCTCAGCAAGAAGTGTCTGATGAGTTATCTGATGACGTATCTAATGAATTATCTGATGAAGCATCAAAGACTGAGTACAGTAAAAATGATAATTTCATCGCAAGTAATCCTTTCCAACGACCAGATTCACATACAGAGTTATTTACGAATGCCTCAAATTTGGTCAAAGTAGGTAAATTGCTGCAGCCTGGCTCTAATGAAAGCTTTGAGCTTGATAATTTGCACCACAATGACTCTCAGGCGGGTGTCCAACACGAAACAGATTTCTCACTGCGAAGTCAAGAACCGCAATTGAATCCGCCTATACAAGCTTCATCATCAAATTTTTATAAGTGGTATGCAAGCCGGAGTGAAGTTCTCCAAAAGATGAAGATTGCTCAACCAGACGTTCACCAGCCATCACCTAATCCTCCCCTGCGAGCTTCTGTTACAAATGTTGACCTCTGGTTAGCTGACAGAAGAAGTCATCTTGATGAAATTTTCAAGAGAATAAACAATCTGGAAAGTGCATCGTCTGTTCACCTCCATCGTCATCAAACTAACGAAAAGAAAAATGACGAAAAGTTTGTCCGGGTCTTAGAAATCGTGAGAGACCAAGGGATTGAGATTAAAAACCTGAAGACAAACCTCAATGATCAAAAATCAATAACTTCACGCTTAGAGGAACAATCTCAGTACAACACTCAATCTATTCACGACATTGAATTCTTGGTTCAGGATATCTACACCCATTTGAATGATCTCGCCCAATCATGTTCAACACATGGTAATTTGAATGAGGATATTAAAGATATTGGAGGTACGGTGTGTGTGATAAAGAAGCAACTGGATAGTTTACGATCAACTGCAGTAAATCGTACTAGTGTTACTTTGTAGATTTATTGTTTTTTATTATCGAATTTCCGTGAAGTGATTTTATTTTGACATATAGATGATGATTAATGTGTGGGCTCCCTAGATTTAAACGTTTGCGGGCCGTAACAATGAAAATATAATGATTTAAGTAATTCTACTTTCATGCCAACACTATACTTCTTAATTGATATTACTTACGCTTGTTCAATTTTCTTTGTTTATTTAGGAATTGCGAATGCAAAATTAAAAGAATTGCTTTTGAATTTAACCCGGTTATCAATGAAAATTTGTGTATACATTCTTGAAGACAAAGTTTTAACACTCGTTTATCTCCCAAAATTCTTGTTTCGTTATTGCTTTAACTAATATCCGATCCGAAGGTATTTTTTAACCTTCGTCAACCCTGTAGACTAAATTCTCATTCTTTCAATATCGCTCAATCCTTAGTTTATGCTCTTTGTTAGATGGCAGGATAAACTGTTGTGTTTATATACTGACCGTTGATACGAACAATAATATGACTTAATTTCAGGGTGCATGACCACCTGTGTGAAGTTTTATGACAGAAAGATTTTAGCGCTTGAAGTAAACAAAGAGGTTTGACGTTTCCAATCAATCAAAATGGACGAGATTAGCCATAAGTTTCTTAGAGAAATTAGACAGCATCGCAGGGCAGAGTATGTTCGAAATAAATTTAGTTCACGGAATTATGATGAGCAAGGGAACCCAGCGGGTTCGGAAATGTATGCAAAAGTCCACTACGACGTGGCTATAGACCCAGGAACCTCCATAGTTGAGGAAGTGGACGAACTTCCTGTTAACTTTTTTCGAAGACCTGGAGGCCGTGGACGAAAAGCTTCGTCTTTCATTAGCCCTAAAACGCCTACTAAGAAAGGTGCTTTGCTTAATAATTCGTGCATACCTGGCTTACATAACCCTATCAAAGAGTCTCCCTTAGAACAAAGCATGCGTCCTCATAACACGGGTGAACAACCCACTGGAATCCCTGTCCTTGCTAGTTCATTCAGAAACAATATACATCCTGACCAGTCCTTTGCTTCTGAGCCCAGTGACTCAGATGATCCCCAAGAAGATACATTTAATGAATCGTACAAGTTTGCAGATCAATTCCCCGTAGCACCTGTCGATTATAATATGGGATTGCGTGACTACAACCCGGATGCTGAAAAGGAATTCTGTGAAGCTCGTGACTGGATTTCAGATAATATGAGTAGAGGGGCACTCCCTAGTGAGATGGAAGGAGAGGAAGAAGTTGCCAGAAACATAGCCAACAACAGTTTCAACGACAGCATTCTATCCATTCACAATGTTTCAAGAGATGACTATAAAGTCAATCCAATTCCAAAAGAATGGCTTTTAGTGGACAGTCAGCCCCGAGTTACAGGCAGGACAAGTCTTCCTCTCTCAAATAAAGTGGACAAACGAGATGAAATTAACCCAGCCACCGGGCAACCGATGTGGTTCAACCCAAAAGGAGGTGAAAATTCGTTTAACACTACTGGTAACAGCACATTAAACAGCTCACTGAATAGCACAGCTGACTCACAACGTCGTTCCTCGTGGGAAAAGAATAAAGGAGAAATCATACAGCGACTGTACATGGGAGATGGAGTGGATCCTACTCTTGCCAACAGAACATTCCCAGTCCCATCAAAAAATCTAAAGGGACTGTATACACCATTGACTAAGAAGACTCAGTCACCGACACCCAATCTCGACACATCGCAGGCCCCTGATCTGGATTTCGGAAATATTACAACTATTCCGTCTCCATATCCTTACGAAGACATTAAACCGGATCCTCGCACTAGTACTCCTTTAAAAGCTCTTTCTAACAAAAAAGATGCAGCCCGCTTATCAAATACGGCCAATATATCTTCTATTGGCGATCAGAACTCTTTCTTCGGTAAGTTCGATTCCGCTGATTACAGCCGACTAAACAAAGTTATCAGAGGAAACTTATCTAAAAATGTTGACTCTGCTTCTCAATCACCAAATGAAGACAGTAAAGTGGCCGAAAACTGTCTTGATTCGAAACTTAACGATACAACTGAAAACTCTCTGAACGAGAAGATAGACCAGGATGATAATATTCCTGCTGTGTGTCCCACCAACAGCGACTATGATTCCTCAAACATTCATTACGAACTCAATTCTAGTGAGCTGCTCGGTAAATTGTCGGAATCTCTCTCTGCTGACAAGAAACCAGCAGCTGAAAAACTTAACAAGTCAGTCGGTGACAAGCAAGGAAAACTTTCAGAAAAAGCTGCCAAAAGGAAACTTGATTTGAAGCCCTATGGACCACCTCAAGCTCCAACATCTGGGCAAAATAGAACTGTGACGCTTACAGACAGTGGATACGGGGTATCTGTCCACAATAATGAATGTGACTGTAGTATCGAGGAGAAGATGAAAAACAACTGTGTAAGTTTGAAAGATTCTGGTGCAACTCTAAAGATTGTGACTGAATCCGACGTACCTAGGCCTCCCTGCTGTAAGAATACGGAAGGAAAGCTCAAGTATGTGGCTGCCGTCAACGCGAAGAAAATCAGCAAACTGTCAAAAATTGTCAAGCGAAAGACTCAAGAATTTCAGGTCATGCTCGCAGAAAATCTGAAATTGGCTCAAAAAAATTTCCAACTTAAATCTGCTATGCAAGACTCAAACATGAAGTTCCTCCGGCAACGAAACCTTGCAAATGAAGTTGAAGCAAAGCATCAAGCTCTCCAGCAAAAGTTCGAGCTCGTTGAGTACAAGACGGAGCAACTTGAACTTGAGACCAATGGTAAGAAACGTGAACACCAACAATCTGAACAAATGATCAATACAATGACACGTAACTACGACAAGATGGCGGACCTTCTTGCAAAACAGGGTGAAGAAGTAGATGACCTTAATGAACAAATAGAAGAAGTGGAAGAAGCGAATAAAGAAATGGCCGGAATGTTACGTGATATGGGCGTTATTATGCAAATTAACGAACTTGAGCGGTCACAAAACGACTCTACATTTTCTTCTATGGCTGAAGACAATTCTATGTTGAGAGGGCAGTGCAACAGCTATCAGGCTCAAGTTGCTGGCCTGGAGAATTCTGTCGAAATACTGGACTCCCGGCTTCAAGACTTATCCAGTCTTAATGAAAGTCTTGCCATGAAGAACAGAGAACTTGCTTTGGAAGCATCTCTACTAAACGGTAGTGGTGTTGCCGCTGAACAATCTGCTAATGCCTCTGTCAATATTACTGCAAACAAGAAACTTGATGATAGCGTAAGGAAGATTGTTGAATTTTACTCGAAGGTTTCCAATGATTTGCAGGCTCAGGTTGAGCAAAAAGACAAAAGAATATCAGAATTAGAGTCAAGCATGAACAATACGACACTCGGATCTAGCATGCACAATACGACACTAGGATCTAGCATGAATGATACGACACGAGGATCTAGTATGAACAATACAACCTTTGGATCTAGCCTCAATGACACAACTTTGTTTCAGTCATTCAACCAAAGTTTGCACCCGTCTTTAGAAAACTCTTCACTTGAAAGGACAACTAACTGTGATGAAGTCCAACAGAAATTGTCTTCCGCACAAAATGAAGCTCGACGGTTAAAGAGCGTTCTTCGTGACGCCAAGGACACAACTTTATTTCAGTCATTCAACCAAAGTTTAAACCCGTCTTTAGATAACTCTTCGCTTGAAAGGACAACTAACTGTGGATCTAGCCTCAATGACACAACTTTGTTTCAGTCATTCAACCAAAGTTTAAACCCGTCTTTAGAAAACTCTTCACTTGAAAGGACAACTAACTGTGATGAAGTCCAACAGAAATTGTCTTCCGCACGAAATGAAGCTCGACGGTTAAAGAGCGTTCTTCGTGACGCCAAGACTATTATAAAGGAGGTAGCTATTAATCCTACTATGTCTTCTGACCCAACTGTCGTTAGTGCTCTAGATAATATGTTCAAAGAGGTCCAGAGAGGAGAAGTTTCTTTAGACACCTCTCAACTTGAACGAACAATTGACTTCGCCGGAATGGGACCCCAAATTGCGTCTGCTAAGAATGAAGTGGAGGAATTGAAAACTCTTCTTCATCAAGCTAAAGTGATCATGAAGGAGTTAGCTGACGATCCCACCAAGTCTTCTAATCCACTAGTGTTGAGTGCCTTTGACGCTGTTTACAAGCAGGTCAAGAAAGTTGATAAGAAGAATGTCTCGTTTGACGCTAGCATAGTTGCATAGCTCTATAAAGATATGACCGTTGTGTGTATATGTAAATATATCTGGAAGCATCAGCTTAACTTTTTATGATTCGACAATGTATTGAGACATTTTATTTTATAACGAACTTCACTTAAATATTTGTAATTGTATTCGATTTTATCATATTCACGATGTTATGTTTTTATTGTTAAGTTTTTAGATCAGATCATTAATTAATGTAAAATTGTTGATTCATGTTGATGATAGTTCTAAGATTTTCTTGTCGTGATTCCCTATCATTTTAAATAATTCCTATTTTCGGATTGTGTTCATGTGTTGTACTTGTATAAAGCCTATTTATTCTGTTGATCAATTCAATATATGTCACTTTCATTTTTAACAAAATTATTGTTTCATTCAACTTTCACAAAATTGAATTATTTGTCGACTTAAGTTTTAAGTATCATATAGCGCTTCCAGAGAGTTCGATCATGATATCCCACTAAGGTGATAGGTTCTTGCTTTTTTCCGTATTCTCACTCGTTCATTGGATCCATTTCCTAGAATTCTGCAGCATTATTAGATCATCCAAATCCATTTAACATTACACATTAGCCATTCTTTTCCCTTTCTTGAAGTTGAAGCCGGGTTAGTTTTTAGTAGTCCTTTATCCCATCAGTCTTTTTTCCCTTCAGTCTTCACTAGCTAGGACTCAATAACTCGGTGTGATTTCCTCGGTACACTCAGGGACGGCCGTGAGAAGTTCATCAGACGTTTCCACGCGCTCAAGCTGGCCCCAACACTCAGTTTAGGAATGGTGGACGTAAGAAGAGTTGACAGGACCAGTAGGGTTGTGGATCAGGAAAATAACAAGAGTAGCTCCAAACAGGAATGGTAACAGTATTTCATGCATTATCGATTAGTTAGGATAAGATCTTTCCCTTTTTTATTGTTTTGATTTCAGAGCTGTTTTGACTTAATTGAAATGTTTACTAATTTTATTGTTATTCCGATTAAACTGATGTATGAAGGGAATGGTGGATATACCAAAACTATTTTATCAGGTTCATAGAAGCCTTGGAAGATTTAGAGTTGGCTCGGTACAGTGAGGACAGCAAGATCACCTCTCTGGTCGAGCAGTTTGAGAGATACTCTCACTCTGACCTTCTAGAGGAAATTAAATCCCTTAAGGTATGCCGCTTTATTAGTCAGTCTTTCCGGTTAAACTGACTGTACACACTATACAATATATACATGCCTGATAATGAAATTAGTTTACTGCAATTAACTTTTTCTGCTGAAGAGCTCTCAAACTTTTTCAAACTGTTAAATCGCGTTATCAGACTTCAGACCCGTCCCCGATGTGTCGTGTCTTTCATTCTTTGTCAATTTCTTTATTTTATGTTTTTACCTTGCCTAATTACATAAAGTTTCGTCCAAAACAACTAGGGGCTAGGTGGCCTAATGGTTAGAGCATCTGCCTTCTGCACAGAAGGTCCAGGGTTCGAATCCCAGTGTCACCTAGTCTAGGGAGTAGCTAAGGATCCATTGGATCTATGCAATCTCCTTGGTCAACTCAACCGAGTGATAGGAAACTTAATTGAGGGTTAAATTAGGAGGGGTACCTGTTAAGAGTTCAAGAAACTTCCTAGGATAACCCTTCAGTGCCATGTAAACATAGTACTATTAACTATTAACTATTAACTAGACATCCACATCAAATTACAAGCAAATGAAACTGCTCTATGTCATATAGAATTTAACACCAACAATTCGCGTCACATCAATTAGTTTGCTTTACGAAACTAACCGATTATCAGTAACTCAATGACCGCAGGCGAAGCTGTGTTATCTGACTATGTCCATGCCGGTACCCCTAGTTCTACAACCAGACTATCAGTACGCTATCAAAGTAAGTTTGATAATTTCACAAATAAATAATAGAATTAAATAGCGATCTCAGTGTACTATACATATATTATGACTATGAGAATTAATCGAAAATTTTATTCATAATTAATTTTATTTTCAAATAAAATAAGTTATTATTGATTATATCACTACCAAATTTATTTTAAATTAACACCATGACTTTTATTTCAGTTCATTATTATGAAATGCCTTGCTGTTCACGAAGACGTTTTCGGAAGTTGGTTCAAAATGCGATTCAAGAAAGGTAAACTTACTGCTATGACGTGACATATCACATCCTAATTATACGCCGTACGGGCGATCGAAGGGAATATCATGTTTATTTATAATAGTACTTCAATTGTAAAATAAGGCAACATTTACTATATTGCAATATGTAGGATAAAAACGCACCCTGTGGTCTTGAAAGTATGGATACTAGTGTATAGTGCGATGGGAAAGCGAGAAATATCTTTTGACAGTTGACACCTACCATTGATTCTGGGTTTTGATTTGCAATTTGACGATAATGCTGATAGTAATATTGTTGTTATAGAACTTCCCATTTAAAGTTTGATGGTTTGTTGAATAATTTTGATCAATCTGTGGTGACTTTATCAAAACGCAATAAGTTTATATAATATATAAATTGTTTTACGATTTTATAGGCAACAAGAAATCGGAGTTTTATTTATTGAATATTATGGCTTTTACTAAATCGCTCGCCCAAAAATTTCACGTGACTCTGGTTTTTTTGGTTTTGCAGCCGTACAAAACGGTTTAACATAAACCCTAATCCCAACCCTAACCCTAACTATAATCCCGAAGCTATCGATATTCTTAACCACAACCCTAACCCTAACCCGAGCCCTAAATAATCGAATTCACGTTTTACTAGCCTGTCACGTGACCAAAACGGATTTTTGCCCATAACTCTCCAGGGAAGCATTTTAACCCTACGTCATGGGGGGTGATTCGGAATCAGCGTCCAAAAATACACCGATCAAGATAACTTTCATGCCTAAAGGGCCTTTTCACAAGAATTTTCTTCAAATTTGGGCGATCGATTTAGTAGGAGCGGAATATTATAGTGAAATCCAAGTTTTACGGATAAAGCATGAACAAATTCTTGGCACATTATATTAATAATTATAATTTTAGGCTCATAACCTACCTAGACGCGCGGGGGGGGGATGCAACGTCAATTAATGTCATTAATTGACATTAATTGACATTAATTGACATTAATTTGTCTTGAAATTTGAGATTATCATTATTCGATAAATATTCAAGATATTCACGTCTATGTAAGTTAGACCGGTTCAAAAAAACAAAACGTCCTTGAATAATTATGAGTATGTTCTTATCCGTTGATCCTTAGGTTCAAAGACCACCAAAAAAATGTCAGCTTCCAACTCTTCCATCTTCGGTCCCTACCGGCCACGCCCATATTTTATTGGTTTCTTATACAGGTAAAATATCTATAACATATAATCGGCTTTTTTAGTATGAAGGAGTAATGTTAGCTGTTTAAGATTCGTTATTCAAATATAAATGTCATGAAGGTATTTCGTTTAATGTGGGTTTTAAGTTCTGATGATGTTGAGAACCACGTCCTTGGATGGCCATGCCCATTTAAGAAAATTAAATTTCGGAAAACCGTATTATTTTAGTTTTATTGTTTAATGATCTGAATTTTTCACATTTCCATATGTGATAGTAGTGAATAAATTGATGATATAAACGTTCTAAACACTAAAGTGCTAAAAATATGGTAGAACTACATAATCTCTGGTCGAAAAATATCGTGTCAATTAATGCAAATGTCAGTATTCCAAAATTTTGCAAAACTGACATTGACATTAATTGACATTAATTGACATTAATTGATGCATCCCCCCGACGCGCGCCATGCCAAGATTAGATCTAACAATAAAATACGCACAACAAAACACACAAAGGTCCCCAAAAGATTCACAATTTATATTTCCCTAGTTGAAACTAACTTATTTTATGAAATTGATACATTCGAAAAGATATCGTGATTACATGGTAGCCATCCATGATCCCCATTAAGTCCTAGGCTGGGTTAAGTTAGCCGACGATATGATAGCATTGGGAAGCTCTGCCTACCTTTGGGGTGTGGCAACCCTGGGTAAGGTTGCCGGTGAAATCAGAGTGAATGGTGGATCGGAGGATGTTGTTAATAGTCAGTGTAATAACTATAAGCGCCAAGCGCGAGCACAGAACTTTTTTTCTCCGATTTCGATAAATTTGGTACCAAAATTTGTCTTAAAATGTGAATAAAATAAATCCACCGTGTAGCAATTTTCGCCAAAAATGCCACACGGCGCTTGTTCGCCGCGCGTGCTTTTTTCGCGCAAATTTTTAGTTGTTGGCCTATAACTTTCACATTTTCACTTATTATCACATAATTATTATAGCATCGTAATCAGCTCATCGAGACGAAACTTTCGGTACTAATATTTTAAGATTTAAAGGAAAATTATTTTCAAAATTTTAATTATTATAATTTTAATTATTATAATTTTGGTACCAAAAGTTGTGTCTGACTAAGCTCATTACGATACTGTAATAATTATTTCAAAATATTCAATATTTTAGGAGTTACAGGCATTTTAAGCAATGAATTACCTATTTTTTGTCCTTTGTACATTCTTGTAATGCACAGGAGGCCCACATATAGCTCGACGTTATTTTGCTACACGGTAAATTTTCATTATTCACACTTAGAGGCAACTTTTGGTACCAAATTTATCAAAATCAGAGACCAAAATTCTGTGCCAACTCATGGCGCTTATTACATAAACTATAAAAGTGAACTGAGTCAAAATGATACGCTTAAGTGCCAACTGGATATTTTACTGGGCGGCGCTCAGCCTGTCATTCCGCTTCACCTAACCATGTGCTTTCGCGCCACTGCGGGCGCGCTTGTTTCACAAGTCAAGCCGTGAGGCAGGCGCGCGCTACTGCAAGCGCAAGGGCTCTGGATAGAGCAATCATTCCGCCGAATATCTATTTTATATGTTTATGAACATAATATTAATAGCCTGGGGTCCCCAGGTAACTGGGTATTGAGAAGTAAAATGAGACGAGACAGCATATAACTATAAGTTAATACTCTAATAAGTCACCCCGGTCTGATCCAGCTCTTATGGCACAATTAAGTGTTTGATGCGGTTTGCGAAATTGACAATCGTGGTGATGTGTTGGTTTAGTTGTCGAATATGTCATTGACAGAGAGGTAGTAATCCTGGAAATATTGACCTCTTATTTGGGCAATAGCCGGACACTGTCCAAGGAAGTGTGAAACAGTTTCCTCTCCGTCGCCGCACATAGGGCAAGCACTAGTGTTTGATTTGCAAATGCAAAATGGTGTGAAGGTGTTTGTTTAAGCCGCAGTGACCCGTGATGAGGTGAACTGCAGTTCTGTAAGTGTAATTTTGTCTGTTCATGTAGCTGAGTGTAGTGTTGGGGTTTTTGATTGTGTTGGCGTGCTTGTGGCCGAGTGTCAGTTTGGTGTGTCTGGGACCTTGGTAAAACAGCAAAGACCTAAAATTGGTATATTTTTTTGTAAATTTGTGATGGAATAACATTTTCTTACCCATCTTTGTCTCAACGTTCTTGTATTCGAAATAATAGGAAATAAATAATATTAATGCTAATTGCTAATATAGGAAATAACGTCATGAAAATCCAGAACTCACTACATAGCTACTATACGTGAAATTTCCATAGCGCATTCTCAATTATCTTCCTAATACGAAATTTGATACAAAAACTGTAAAGTGTAGCTACTATAGGTGAGATTTTCACGCTGCACTATACAAAAGAGCAAGTTTCCTAATATTTTTCGCAGTTCATTTCTTGATCGTATAGTTAGTTCGTTCCCTCCAAAACCTCGCAAAGTTACCCCGCAGAACAATGATCTGGAAAAACAATATGAGTATCACAAACTCGCCTCCCAGTACCTCTCTAGTTTATGACGGTCATGACTTTGACTTTCAGTATATATCCCCACTCAACATCACTATAGCTATTTATATCATAATCCAGAACGCCATGATCATATATGATTACCACAAGGACTGGAAAAGGATTTCGTACCTGTTCTTTATTATGATTGCTGCTGCGGACATTGGAAGTGCGTGTTCAGAGATAGGACGAGGCTCAATATCACTGCTGTGCTTGAAGGACCCGTCTTTGAGGATGCATCCTTGGACTTTTCTGGTCTGCCAACTGTTTGGTACACTGTGCTACGTTACTTCCACATGTTTCGTTGTTGCACTAACGGTTGTGAAGACCATCAACATAATGCGTCCATTTTACAGGCAGAATAACCGAGTTTTGAAGATATTCCTTTTCATTTACCCGTCCATTCTCCTAGTCGTGTGCATTATTGATGTTTGGGCCTTTAATGATCTCATAACTAGTATTAATGATAACCCAAAATGTGGTGTTACTTATGGTCCATGGGTCGTGATGATTGAAATAGAAACAATCGGAATCGGCACAACACTCCGTGCATTACTACTAGTGTTGATGAAGCGTTACTTTGCAGATGGTGCAGCAAACCTTATGTACCAGATCATGTGGGTAGTTATACCTTTAGTTCAGTTTGGTCTGCCTTGCTTGATCGTGCTTGTATGCATGGTTCTTCAGATGATCTATATAAAGAAAGCCTTTGGAGGTCACGAAAACCCACAGCTGAACACTGCAAACCAAGTTAACTTAACAGTGTTTCTAATCTCGTTACTGTACTTGATTAGCGTCTCTTTGTACTGCGTGAATACAATTATCGCTCACTGGTGGTGGTATGACGTCCAATACCCCCTCATGGTATTGTTAGAATTCACCCTTCCCTTGATAAACGCAGCAGTGTTCCCAACCATCCTGATCCTTCGTAAACCAGAACTAAGAGCACGGTACAGAAACTACATAACAAACGTCCTCCTTCTACCACTCAACATCTATGGAAAAGTTCGTTATCTGGCTCAAATAAGACGAGGATATGCAGAGATTTGATCAGAACTACCTACAAACTCGGCAAAGTTTGTTATTTTGCTCAAAGAATAATATGATATACAATTACAGAGATCTGATCAGAACTACCTTATACATGGTTGATCATTTATGACATAAGGAACGGTTGGAAAATTTGATTTCTGGACCCTCTTTCCAAATTATAAAGTGATTATTTTTGTTTTAAAACTCTGATTGAGGCCAATAATTCAATTTGCTGTGATTAAGATGGTTTGTTAAAATTATTAATTTTGCTTCACGTCACACAGGCGTGACGTGAAGTCACACCTTTTTAAAAAGTGTAAAAAAAGAAAAAAATATTATTGATTAAGACGTTCAATGTGAATGATTAAAATGTAAAAAGATTGATGATCATAAAAAATGGAAAAATTTGATTGATTAATGATTAAGATGATTGACAAAATTGAAATTCGTTCGATTGATATACGAATTCGATTCTATTTTGTGAACTATTTTACGAAAAAGACAAATATCGCCTTGATATGAAAAAAGATGTTTGTTAGGCCTAGGGGTCGTTCACATATTACGTAATCAGCCGAGGGTGGAGGGAGGAGGGGGGGTTTCCAAATGCTTACGGTTGATTACGGGGGGGGGGGGGGGGGGGGGTTTCGGTCGTTGATTACGTAATCAACATTTTCTTTTTTACCCTCTAGAATAATAACAATTTGACAATATTTTAATTCAAATTCCACTCAATTTCACTCTGATAGTGATAAAATTTAGAAATTGATGATCGAATATCCGGCTATAATAGTAAGTAGAAGGTGCTTGGCCGGATATCATAACAATGATTTCGGCTCATCATGATAGCATGATCAGGGTAGCATGAAACGTAGAGAAAAGTGTTTTCTAGGAAAAAAGTCAGGGGGGGGGGGGGGGGGGGGGTCAGGCCATGATTACGTAATATTGCTGTCAGGAGGGGGGGGGGGGTTGGGTCTTGATTACGGTTGATTACGGAAGGGGGGAGGGGGGTAAAAATTGCTAAAATATTGATTACGTAATATGTCAACGACCCCTTATATCTTTAAAATTAACTGTCTGAATATATATTTTTCCTTTATGAATATGATTTGACCATCATGATATTTTTCTATCTAATATGAAATGTCAAAAATGTCTCTAATCATTTTATCACAATTTTGCTTAATTTTAATTAACGGGTGATACTCTTAAATATTTGTTCCAATTATTATCAGGACCGTCGACGAGTCCAACTCGGCGCGCGTCCTGGTAGGTTGTAAACTTACAAAATTTTAACAGATTCCGATCTTTATGTCAGAGCAGATAAATACATAATTGTAGCGCGATGCGTTACTCTCAACTGAGCCGCGCCGAGCTGCCATGAATTGACATCGTCAATTAAAATACATAACTACCGTTACCAATTACGTGATTGATATATTTATCGTGTGTTTGAATTGTGTACTCCTCATGATTTTTATTTATTTATTTTTCTAAAAAATAAATTGCGGAGTCATTGGGTGAATGAAATTTTCTAATTTTGAACAAATTTAAAAAGTATAATAATTTAATAACGCCCATCATCGACTTGTATGTAGGTTAAAAACTTACAACTTAACCAAGACGTGCGTAAAGACTTAAGTTGGAACAAATATTTTAAGAGTATCACCCGTTAACGAAACAATCAAACAACAGTGCCACAGTGGAGACCGAGAAGCATTATAAAAATATTCTATCATGCGCGGCCCAGTAGTATTAGTAATACTAATAGTATAGCGTGTCACGTTACCAAAACATAAAACGATTTTTTTGTCTATCATACATGCTATACTATTCAAGTATATTATTTCTTTTGCCCCAATACAAGCTGTGACGCTATCAGCTATGGGCCTCCCGCGGCCAATTAATTCGTTGGCATGCCCATGTGCATGGTACATGGCCCGAGCCGTGAAGGGGCGACACGCCGCGCGCGAACTCAACGAGCTTAAGTCCGTTTTGGCTCATATGTTTACACAAAATGGATCATTTGCTCTTATGTCTTACTGCTGACACAGCATGAATACAATTATTTAATTGGCTTCAAGGTGTTAGGGGTTCTGGGCTGCCGAAGTTTAAAATGCGCATTTGTACAGCACGTGACTGGTAAGTCCTCATTTGTACTTCGAAGCGAATTCTGGACCCTTGTACATTATACTATTGTGTCCAATGATTTGCCAAACGTAAACCTGGAGCAGAAAACTCGACTTTTTGTCCGTAAGAGCCCTAATTAATATAATATGGATATAATATTAATATAATATGGATATAATATGGATATAATATTAGGGGTGGGGGTGATAAAGTAAAAATTATTTCGTCGACCAAATTAAAATAATTCTTATAAATGTAAACATTAATGCTATTGTTAACATTGCAAAACACATTTCTACAAAGGACAATCTGGGTACGTCAGAATTTCAAGTCAGAACATAAAACATGAATTAGGGCACAGGTAAAAGAATAATCCAATCTCGCTTCAAGAGTAACCGATCAAGTCTGCCGGATCATATGATCAAGTTTCGACTTGTTTGGGTCGTTCAACTCGTTTCCTTCTCCTAGTCGGGTCCTCGCCCCTGCAAATGATTAATTTTAGCAGTTGATGGTAGTAATTTAATGTACTGTGATCTGGTTCCAATTCCAGACACCAGGACAAAATCGCAGCGATATATAATTGAGATTCGCGGCAAACAATCGCAATTACCGATAACATCTCCACTACAAAACCTTTACCTGATGTAAGTGTTCATGATGAACTGGAAGGTAGCCAACTGTTGTCTGGAAGGGGCCCGGATATAAGGCGGTGCTGGCAAGGGCCCAGGCAGATGTATTTCTTCTTCCAGCTCAAATGTGTCCGGCATGTTGACGGGAGACGTTGGGGGCGCTCCAAACTCACCTCCTAGGGTTTCGTGCACCTAAACATTTTTTAAATTGTGTGACTATATTCTTACTGAGTAATTCTTACTTAGTAGTATTGAATAATCAAAATTAAGTAGACACTACAACGACAATGTAGTGTAGTGATGAAAAATACACAGACAGAAACGGCAACCAACTCCACCTTACCAAGTGATGGTGAGACAGGTCAAGGTTTGAAGCTTTAAGAAGCTCCTCTTCGTTCATAAGATGGTGAGTAGTCGTAGTAGCGGAAGAAACTGCCTGTATGATAGGGAAAATGTTAGCTAGAACTGAATAAAAGCTATGGTAAAGGGGTTGTGGTGAATTTAGTACAGAATTTAATACAGACAGACCTTAGTATTTTTTGACGAGAACCCTAAAAGTGCCAGAAATGTAAAATCACAGTTTAATATAATAAAATTAATATATATTGTTTAAAAACGAACTCTATCAACCTTAGATCTACGGTACCTGATGTTGTTGAGCGCAGTTCAGAATATTGGTGACATGTTGAGAGGTGTTGTGCATGCAACTACTCTGTTTGTGCTGCTTTGAGCTGTGGTGCTCGTGTTTGTGATGTCGAGAATACTGTTGCTGCTGCGGTTGCTGAGCGGTCGATTGTGGTTGCTGAGTTGCTGTTGGTGGTAGCTGACCAACTTGTTGCTGTGGGGCAGCTGGGGTCGGGGTATGTTGACCTTGAGACGTAGTCACCTGCTGTTATTAACAGTTAGGGATTATTATAGCGAATACACAAAAGAGAATTGTACTAATCCAGTTCACCCCCCCCCCCCATCCCCTTCTTACACCCCTCCCTTCCTCCAACCGACAGAAAGCTAACCTGGTGATGTTGCACGTGCTGCTGAATAATCAGAAAGCTAACCTGGTGATGTTGCACGTGCTGCTGAATAATCAGAAAGCTAACCTGGTGATGTTGCACGTGCTGCTTAATAATCATAAAGCTAACCTGGTGATGTTGCACGTGCTGCTGAATAATCAGAAAGCTAACCTGGTGATGTTGCACGTGCTGCTGAATAATCAGAAAGCTTACCTGGTGATGTTGCACGTGCTGCTGAATAATCAGAAAGCTTACCTGGTGATGTTGCACGTGCTGCTGAATAATCAGAAAGCTTACCTGGTGATGTTGCACGTGCTGCTGAATAATCAGAAAGCTTACCTGGTGATGTTGCACGTGCTGCTTAATAATCAGAAAGCTAACCTGGTGATGTTGCACGTGCTGCTTAATAATCAGAAAGCTAACCTGGTGATGTTGCACGTGCTGCTGAATAATCAGAAAGCTAACCTGGTGATGTTGCACGTGCTGCTTAATAATCAGAAAGCTAACCTGGTGATGTTGCACGTGCTGCTTAATAATCATAAAGCTAACCTGGTGATGTTGCACGTGCTGCTGAATAATCAGAAAGCTAACCTGGTGATGTTGCACGTGCTGCTGAATAATCAGAAAGCTTACCTGGTGATGTTGCACGTGCTGCTGAATAATCAGAAAGCTTACCTGGTGATGTTGCACGTGCTGCTGAATAATCAGAAAGCTTACCTGGTGATGTTGCACGTGCTGCTGAATAATCAGAAAGCTTACCTGGTGATGTTGCACGTGCTGCTTAATAATCAGAAAGCTAACCTGGTGATGTTGCACGTGCTGCTGAATAATCAGAAAGCTTACCTGGTGATGTTGCACGTGCTGCTGAATAATCAGAAAGCTTACCTGGTGATGTTGCACCGTGCACGTGCTGCTTAATAATCAGAAGGCTAACATGGTGATGTTGCACGTGCTGCTGAATAATCAGAAAGCTAACCTGGTGATGTTGCACGTGCTGCTGAATAATCAGAAAGCTTACCTGGTGATGTTGCACGTGCTGCTTAATAATCATGTTGTAATATGGTATTTAGAGATATCTTTTAGGATATCTTAGTTTTAGTATAACGTTTAAGGGACGTAGAATTTAGTATGTATTTCCGGGTATATAATAACCAATGTTTTTATATGTTCGTATTTGGGAGTTACACATTTTGAGTGTAAGTCGGTTGGCTGGCAGAACTACTGTCAGACTAACTGTCTGAAACGAGCCGTCCGCTCACTTTGCACCTGACTTACAGCCAGGCCTGTGGTTGGTCCTCGCGACCACAGCGTGACTGCTAGTGGAGTGCTCATTGGCGAGACGGCGTGTCACGTGGTACAAGCAGATGCGTTGTGCCGTCACGCAGTGTGGCGTGACGAAGTTTTGAGAGTATACCCGGAGAGCCGGATGTGGAGAGCTCACTTCTTAGTTGCCCCTTAATCATTTTAAGGGATTCGAATTGACGGTAGCCAGTCTTACTGAGCACTACCATTTGTGATTAGACACGTCGTGTGATCTATTAGTCACGTCAATCGCTTGGAGCGAACACTTGGAAGTTTTATCTGTTGACGTTCACTTTGTATTACTTTTCCTTTTAATTAATTATTCATTTTAATATACTCGTTTCATTTCTACCTTACGGTACGCCCTGCCGTTCGTGCTTCGTGACTAGAGCTTGACTAGCATACACTAAATACCAAGAGAACTCCGTTTTCTATATCTGGAGGCCACTTTTAGTGTTGCTATTTTTGCTCGTAATCCTTCTAGTATCACCTATATTCAGTATAGTTTCGTTTAAGATCCTAACGTTTCTCATTTGATAAGCTAAGTTCGGTGTACATCGCAGTGCAGAAGAATTACGTGGAGATTGTTCGAGATCTTCAGTACTTCCTACTAGACTTGGTAAGTGTTGCTACACATTTTGTAGTACCTGTATATTCCAGTTGAGTGCGATCGTTTTGACGAGCACCTAGTTTACAGCCGCTTGTAGACTTCAGTACGTTATTACCTAGTTTGTCAGTGAGATTTGCGTAGTTTTAGCAACCTTACTTTTCGTACATCTACTCAGGAGTGATAGACGTAGAAGTTACAGTTCCAGTAAAGCAAAGTAAAGTCTTGACTAGAAGATTTTCCAGCAACGTGAAGAGTACGCCTGTTCCTGTACTTATCTACTCTATTTGTAAGTGTACTTTTACATTTAGATTCACTTTTTAGCATGTGTGATAGTTATACAGCTGAAATGGAGTGGGCGACGTTGATTTTAGAAAGGGGTAAGATTCAGTCTAGCATTGATGAAATAATGAAGGAGATAGATGGTTTAGATCCTGGTGCAGATAGCAATAGCATTTCCGAATTAGAAGATAAGTTGAAGGACCTACATTCAGCTTTAGAATGCCTGCAGGATAAGATTGATAATGCACGGCCTAAGCCAGTTAGCACAGTTACTAACGCCCCTCCAGCTAGTTCTAGCAGTAGATTTCAAGAGAACGTGCACGTTATGAATCCTGTTATTAAATCCGAGCAGGTTCAGTTTAGAAACGCGAACACCGAGGATGATTTTGGTAACAGTATTATAACCCCATTGAATAGTTCAGTAGCTGGTCCACATTTGACAGGTGCCAGGCCTCCCAAGCCTCCTTATTTTGAAACTGGATCTAATTTCATCAAATTTGCCAGGCGATTCAAGGAGCATTTGATTCTATGTGGGCATAGTGGTGGTTCGGATGTTAGTACGTACATGTTGTCATACATTCGTTGTGAATCCACTTGGGAAACACTGCAGAAAGTCTCTCTCAGGCCGGAAGAGAAATGCAATATCGATCTTCTCGTTAAGCGATACTCAGAGGAGATGTTTCCTTCTACTCAATCTTGGGCCTTTAGAACTGAGCTCATGTCGTTGCGTCAGTTACCTAGTGAGAACCTCCAGCAGTTCATTGCACGTATAGAGGAGCTTGCTTTGAAAGCTGGGTATGACTGCGAGTCTAAAAGGGACGAGAGTTGTATGCATGTTCTGGTTGTAGGAGCTCGTGACATAGCTGTAAGGACTAAGCTTTATGAGTCCCAGTTACATTCCTATAGTGAGGCGGTTAAACTAGCAATCCACACTGAGCGTATAGCGTTAGCTGTTGGTGGTGAACCAGGTGGTTTCACTCAGGCCCCGGATACGATTTTCGCTGTAAATAATTCTGAATTAAATGGCCAGAGAACTAGAGTTGCAGCACCTGGGCAAAATCGGGACCGTGTTATGACGGACACTAGGCAGGAGATTTATCGTCCTGAATGTCCTCCTTCCCAGTCGGGAGTTAACCAGCACACTGGCCATTCATGGACTCCTAATCTAGTTAGCAATAGTTTTAGGGGTGGTATGAGGAATGATGATCGTAGAAACCCGCCTGGTCAATCACGTTATCAGCCAGCTCGAAATTACGTGGGTAGTTCGAGTAATCGGGGATCACGTAATGTCCGCCCCCAGTTAGAAGGTTGTTGGGAGTGTGGTGATAGTGAGCATTTTCAGAGAAACTGTCCGAGCAGATTTGCTGGGAATAGAGTTAGATATCAGGACAGAGGGTCTGCATATCAGAATGGTCATGGCCAGCATCGTGGGAACAGAGCATATAGACCTCGAAATCAGGGGCCTTTAAACTTCTAAAGGGTGGCCCTAGATTTAAAAGGAGGTCACCCGCGGTCAAAAACACACGTTACTATGAAGATTGTAACGAGATTGGTGGCAGTAAGGGAAACTGCATTTTGGTTGGAGGAAATTGTGCGGGTAGATCAGCAAATTTCTTCGTGGATACGGGATCATCCATTTCTATAGTTGCTGAATCATTTGTCAGATTTATAGATAAGTTTGAAAAGGTTGTATCGTGTAATCTCAAGCTTAAGTCTTTTTCGGGTAATGACATAAAAACTTTCGGTCAGATTAAGCTTCCAGTGGTTATTGCCGGAAAATCTTTTGAACACACGTTAGTTGTTTCTGAATTTCATGAGGCAGAGGTTCTGATAGGCATGGATTTGATGTTTGATCAGGGGATCAATATTAATGCCAGGGATAGATTACTGTATACTAACAAGGGTTCATCGTGTTTTAGAACACCCCCTAAACCCACTAAGCGCTGCATGAAGGTAGTATGCAATGAAACAGTAATTATACCACCTCTCTCGGGCACTCATATACAAGGCAAATTGCTGCGACCTAGAAGTCAACGTGATGATGTTTATGGACAGTTAGAACCTCATATTAACACGGTTGTAGGCACTGGCATATTCACAGCGCACTCTCTCATACGGTCTGAGGACAACATGGTCCCTGTTAGAGTCATGAATCCTACAGATAAGCCTGTGAAGATAAGTAAGAGAACCTGGCTGGGCAAGATGAAGCCAGTAGAGTTTGGTGAGCGAGTGATGAGAGTAACCTGTGAAACGGTTAATGCGATATCATCTGATTGTTCAGTGCCAGAGGTGAGCAAGCTAGCTGACGAGGAGCCGCTAGTTAAGGAATGGGATAGAGAGAGTCTTTTCAAGCAGTTAAAGTTAGACGAGTTGAAGATTAGCGAGGAAGACAAGAATGATCTTCGAGAGACTGTGTGGGAGTATAGAACCGTTTTCTCGAGTGGAGAGCATGATTTAGGTTGTTGTAATTTCTTTGAGGCACATCTCCAGCTCAAGGATAACTATAAGCCTAGATGGGTTCCATCGAGAAGGATTCCGTTTAAGCAGCAGCCGGAAATGGATAGACAGATTAGAGGTTTGCTTAGATCGGGTGTAGTTGAGGAATGCCCTGACCACTCTAATTTTAATTCTCCCCTTTTCCTGGTGCCATCAGGAGATCGCTCTAGATTAGTTGCGGATCTGAGAATG